AATTCATGGTGGTTAAGTCCATTAATGGCTATTAGCCAGGCTGGGTAAGGAATGGTGTCCCAGCCTCTGTTTGTCAGAGGGTGGAGATGGATGGCAGGAGAGAGATCACTTGATCATTGCCGGTTAGGTTCACTCCCTCTGGGGCACCTGGCATTGGCCACTGTCGGAAGACAGGATACTGGGCTAGATGGACCTTTGGTCTGACCCGGTACGGCCGTTCTTATGTTCTTATGTTCCTGTTCCAGACCCTTTGTTACCCAGGGCTCCCTCGGCTGCAAGCTCCACCCCAACGGCACCTCGAGGGGATTCTGTGACGCTGCGGTGAACGGCGAGGACTTCATCAGCTTCGACGTGGACACAGGCAAATGGGTCAGTCGGCGGGGGGATAAGCTGGGGAGCTACGTCCAGGATCTTGTCAACCGGGATAAGAGCATAAGTTAGAAGGTAAGTGGATAAAGGATAAGATAAAGGATGAGAAAAACAATTTAAGAAAAGAAGCACTTGTCAAAGGACAAGTCAGCATGACGGTGCAGAACTCGTTGGTCCCAGTGAAGGAAGATCACTATATAAACAGGGGGCTTTGTCATGAAACGTTGGGTTCGTCCTGCCAAGACTTCCCTGGAGCATCGTGTCACGACCGACAGAACCCAGCTCCTCCCTACCCATAATCAACCTGGCTGGCCACTCGATCGATCCGCACTCTGGACTGGTATCTATGACATCGACTGGCGGGACAGTGTGTGTGTGATTGACTGCATATGCTAATTGTTGTATCTCCAATAAACGTGGTGTGTTGCCTTTTCCCCTGAAAAAGATCCCGTGTGCTTCTGATAAGCAAAACATCCTACCCAGGTGGACTCGCTGCAGGGTGCTGACGGCTACAAGGTTCGGTTCCAGGAGGTGGTGAAGTCACGTCACTTGCCCTAGTCAGAGAGAGAGACACAAAGTGGATCTGGCGCCCTGAAGGGGCCCTCCCAGGGACATTACCCTCCTAGGGGTGCTAGCTCCGATTGGCTGTATCACGGAGTGTTGGGGGACACAAGGCCCTGACCCCCGGCTTCCTGCGATTCACCATGACTCTCAGCCAGCCAGTAAAGCAGAAGGTTTATTTAGACGACAGGAACACAGTCCAAGACAGGTCTTGCAGGCACAGACAACAGGACCCCCCACAATTAGGTCCATCTTGGGGTCCCAGGGCCCCACAGCCCCCTTGGGAGGTCAGAGTCCTGTCTGCCTCCCAGCCATTCCACCAGCCAGCTCTGAAACTGTCTCCCCTTTGTTCAGTTTCCCGGGCAAAGGTGTCATCTGGCCTCTAACCCCTTCCTGGGTTCTCATGTTACACGCTCAGGTATTCTCCCTCGGCCAGTCTCCCATCCCCCAATGCAGACTATCCTAGCCACACTCCCCTGTCAGCATTCAAAGACCACATTAAGAACAGGCCCAGTTCGTCACAGGCTGTTTGGGGGATAGAGTGGGAATTGTCTGTAATATTTTGTATGAATACTGTGTGTGCCTCAGTTTCCCCTATATGCTGCATTGCTCGCTCGGTGAGGGGGAAATGTTTAGTCTTTGCAGAGGCCCAACGGCCCAGAGCGTGTCGACTTCCTGCCTCTCAGTCAGGAAGCTGCGCCCCATTCCCCTGGCCAAGAACACGGACTGAGGAGGGGCCAGGTGGGGGGTGAGTTCACCCGGGAACTAGAGACAAAGAGGGGGACAGGGGACAAAGAGGCCCAGAGCGGGAGCCAAGGGCTTGGCTGGGGCTGGGAGACCCCCCAAAGGAACTCTGTTGTACCCCATTTCTCTGTGCTGGCCTGAGGGCTTCCCATGCTGTGTGCCAATCACCTCATAAACCCGCCCGCTTAGACAGGCTGCCTGAGTCCCTGCCCACGCTGGGGGGGCATCACCCCCTTTGGGGTACACGTCTCTCGGAGGTGCCCAGCCCAGGGGGACTCGCTGAAGGAAGCTCACAGTGTGGGGCAGGGGTGTTAATGGCTCCGAGGTTTGTCCCAAGGAGGCCGGGGGACCCGGGGGGAGGAGGGCGGGGGTGTCTGACACTCCAAACGGGTCCTCCCAGACCCTTGTCCAAGGCTGGGCCAATGCACCACACCTGGGGAGCTGTCACAGAGGGGTCCAGAGAGGAGATAGCTCAGGGGCTGGCGTCTGAGCCGGGATCCCAGGGGTCAATTCCCGGCTCTGCCAGCGAGTCCATATGTGACCCTGGGCCAGTCACTGAATTCTCTGGGCCTCCCTCCCGAGCTGGGCCATGGGGACAATGGCCCGGCCCTGCCCCACGGGGGGTGGGGGCGGTAGGGTGAATGCAGCAGAGAGGGGGAGGGGCTCAGAGACTGGGGGGCCTGAAAAGCTCCTTAGGGAGATTGATGGTGGGAGCAGCTGGGAGGCCGAGCTGTGCCTGACCCACGGAGACTGAGCCCCGCTCTGGTGGGGTGCCTGGGGGGCAGGGCTCAGGCCCATGGGACGGGGGAGCTCAGATCTTTTCCCTGAGACGCCTGCCCTGAACCTTTCACTGGGACTACATTTACAGAGACAAAGCCGAGTGATCCCCCAGCCTATCTCCCCCGAGCAGCGAGGGGTTTGGGGCAGGCGGCCAAGCAGATGGAGCAGGGCAGGCACTTTGCTGTGCCCTGTTATGGGGCGGCTGGCCCTGGGCTGGCCCCGGTCTCCAGCGTCATCCCAGCTGCTCTGGGGGCCTCAATGGGGCCATGGCAGGCGCCGGGCGAGTCCTGCAGCCCCACCCCAGACCCTACGAGGGAGAAGTCTGGAACCAAGCCCTGCTGGGGCCGGCTCTGCCTGGCGACTGGTGATGCTGCCCAACCTCGGTGCTGACTGGCCCTTGGGCTGGGGGTGCCCAGCCCCAGAGCGATGGGCGTAGTCCCGGGGCTGGTGCTCGGAGCTGCCAACTCCCCATGGCAGGAAGTCGCCAGAGACACCCTGAAAAGTCACTAGATGGTGCTATTTAAGCATTCAAAACGGCATCAAAAAGTCACTAAACAAAACGTGCCCAGGATTCAGCCGAGAATTAGCGGCGTGTCTCTGCCCGGGCCCGAGGACACCCTGCTGCGGAGCACGAAAGCCGCCGCGATGCTGGGCAGGCCCTGCAAAGGTTCAGTCCCATGCGCCGGTTCCCCACGGTGAATCTCCTGCAGAAGCAAAGGTCCCTGTGCA